GCAGTCGAAACATTATGTGTCTGTTGTTTTCTTTTGCCTTGATTTACTATGCTTGTGTTGTTCATAATGTTTCTTGCACGACGAAAATAAATTATCTGAATCTGAAATACATATTCATCGACTCGAAATCCCCGCGGTACGGATCCTGAGTCAGTCCTCGAGATTACGCCAGTCGTTATAGGAGTCGACTTTGTCAACGGATATGTAATGGTTTCCCTGTTGAATAAAATATTCAATACATGACCGATATACTTATTTGAAATGGTTGCTTTATTCATTTAATTGTGATAAATTAAATCTGCGATTGCGTCGATAAAATAAAAGCACCACTACTCCAAAATACCGTGGTAACCATAAAAATGTGTGGCAAAGTGCCCGATTACATTTTGTTTTGATTTGTATTCTTGCCAATTTCACCATTATGAGCTGTCCTAGCAACTCTTACTCCGCTCTATCGCAATGCTCGATTAATTTTAACACCGTTGCAGAAATTCCTTAGTCTTCGATAAAATCCCACGGAGTAAAAATTGTTTTCAAGTCGGTAGTTTTAGAACACTATACTGGTGTGCCGCAGGCACAAGGAATTTATAAGATTTGCAATGTCTAAGAAAGTGTTTTTAATTAATCTGTCGCGGCCCACCCCAAAACAAAACTCAAGTTGTTTTCCGTTTTATTTTTAGTATTTTATAATCTCGCTTTTACAATAAGGAAATATTTGGTTGCAGATTCACTACTTTATTCTATCTTTACCATCTCGTCGCTGATGATTATATAATAAAGACTAATTCGTTTTCCTCAGAGGTGTCATGGTTCCATTCGAGCACAAAAAAAGTAATTATAATCGTCTTCGCGACGCAAGAATATGTCGAGGGAAATTTCTGATTTAGGGAGAATAAACACCAAAATCAAAATTTTTATGGCTTAAATAGCAGGCCACGCTTACGAAAACAATCGAGATTTAAACAAAATGCAATTGCAAACGCCTTAGCGACTTTATTTTTCAGCGGTCAAGGGCCGGGGAAACTTCCACATGCATAATAACTATTAAACAAAGAACTGCTTTTAAATTTACATAAATTCATTTGTACTTCTCCATTTTGTTTGAAACGTTAGGCAAGCCAAGAAGTCTGTAATTGTTGCTTATTTTTAACACACAGTAAATAATTTTGGCATCGCTCAATAGTGATGAAATAAACAATTGATTGAAATTTTACGTGTCTTATGTAAACGTTTAGCAGAAAATACGTTAAAGCATAGGTTTATTGCGAGTTTTACTTAAAAATTAGTTTGACTTTACCAGGTATTGCAAACTGAGGGGGAAAACGAGAATGTATGATGACCAACAATTATTTGGCTTTATACATACGACAGTGAATGGCGAAGTTGTACTCCAAAGCGTTTTATGCCTAAACAATCTGAGCAATGTCGCTATGAGACCAACACTCTTATAGCGCCATCTTAATATATAGCAACCTGCCCATCACAAAAGCATTTTTTCAAAGCAAAAAGAGGGGGAGGGCGCAGTTTGTAAAATTTTTCAAAGGGGAGCGCGTCTCAAAAAATTTAGAAACCACTGATTTTTATATATCTGACAGCATTCGGACTGTATGGCGTATATGAATTCAACTTTTGGCATAGTCAAACTTAAAATTTCAAAGAAAAAACATTTTCCAATCGCAACCTCAATACTACCAGCAAATTATTTATCTGGTCTGACCTATCTATTACACCTATCCTTCATTCATCATAATTTGACAATGGACATCACATGGTAAACTTGCACGCATAAAATGAATATATATTTGTATCCCCACTCCTTACATTCCTATATTTAACTCTAGTTCGCGTCAAAACCTCTATTCATTCATATATGTTTCAAAATCTTGCAAGCGATCGATCAAAACTAAAATCATTTGAAAACTGGCTGGACTGGACTTCTTGAACTTTGCTGCGATTTATTGAATTGCTGTCGAATTACTCGCGCCAACACTAAGAAGTTGATCGACCCTATTGATTTATCTTATACCGGAGCCTTTTATGCTAGACATGAACTAGATTTGAGTTTAAAAGATTTGAATTTTAAAAATGAAAAATAAGTTACAATGATAATGGCTCGGCGGTGTGGTTCATCGTGTTTTATTTTTTTAAATGACGTAGTACGACCTTACCTGTGCCTTTTTTCTCGGAACAAGGCTAGATTAAAGCAGGCACTGATATCCAACAATAATTTACAAAATCTCTCTACAGATTTACTTAGCTTGCAAAGCTATCCAAGTGTATATCAAAGCGTAATATTAAAATTTACTCATTATATGGACAACGTAATACTTACGCTTGGATCAGCCCAAATATTTGAACTCAGGTCAGACTGGAAAACTCTACTACTTCAGAACAGAGTAGCGACCCCCCCCCCCCCCCCCCCCCCCCCCCCCCCCCCCCCCCGTAATAACTGCATCCCCGCCCCCCACAAACGGGAGCGTAAAACTGCTAATACTTTCACAACCCCTACGGAAATTATGAAAAGGTAGCTTCACGGTGGATGTCTTGCTGTGTGCGCGCTACACGTCCTCACACAGTATGTACGGAAGCCAGGGCAGCGGAAGTTGAGCTATGCATGGCATTAACGGAAGCCCTGGGCTAACGTCATGCTATCTGGCAAATAGCATGTACAGAAACTCGGGGTCGAAGTTTTTACCGTGCAATGCATAGCATATACGGAAGCTCCCAGATATGTATGACGGTCGTGTACCCCGCGACATGACTACGAAGCGTTAGTACCGATGTGACTCGGATATGACGTGTCTTTGAGACACTGATCCGAGACCAGAAAACTCTAATCCGTAAAAAAAAAAAAAAAAAAAAAAAAAAAAAGCTATCCAAGGATTATCCAAGCTATATAAGGACTATCGATAGTAAGCCGGGAAACGTCAGGTTTTTCAGTAAAACGTTCAAGAATAAAGCAAAAGTGTATTTAGTAAAGGTCTTCCAGCGGCACAGACGTGGTGGAAAAAGCCCATTCGTTAAAAGCTACATCAAGAACAATGTTACATGCAAACAAAATATGGTACTCCCGTAGTATGTGTACCAGGTTAAGGTTAGGCCACAATTTTATTTCAATTTTCCTTATTTTAGTTCTATTACGAGTTCGGGGACTGTCTGTGTTAGCCAAATGAATATGCCCCCTGCCCATAGATTTCAGTCCCTTTACAGAACTTGATGTAAAGTAGGCGAACAAAATTAGTTACCTCCACATTGGTACACATACTTATGGAGCGCCCAAAAGAAAAATTCAAATACACTTTGAGATAATTTTATTCATTCGACATCTTAATCAATTTATACATCACAAATCAGATCAAAGCCAAGGTTGTATAAATGGCATCTATCATCAACTGTGAATCTGTCTGGCCCAAAACACAAAATGAATGCCTCATTAGCTATAGGAATTTTGTTAACAGTGTGATGCCAAATTTATCGACTGCATATCCGCAGGGGTGGGCAATTGCATTACTGAGCGGACCAGTTACAGATAATAAACTTAGTTTCTGGGCCGGAGGCTCAAAACTATGAATAAAAAAAGTTTATTTACAACAGCTAGTCCAAAAGCTAGTCTAACGTTTATATAATAAGAAGAGGTACAATGTAACAATCAGGGTCATTATGAAGTTATTTTCATCAGTATTTTTAACGGAAATTTATATTCATAAAAACTATAGTCGTAATTTCAGAAGACATGTGGGCCGGATGAAACACTTCGGTGAGCCGGATCCGGCCCGCGGGCCGTAATTTGCGCACCACTGGCATATCGTTAAATATCAGTGACGACTTATACGAAGTAACGTACATGAATGAGTTATATCAAAATCGAAATTACTAATGAACAAGAGAGCTCTGCTCAAATATATGTACACGTCACAAGGTGCGCTATTTTTTTATTCTGACACATGAAGAACGAATCTCTGGAAGTCCACAGAAATTGTTGAAACAAGTAAAAGTAATAGCCTTTTGGCAAAAAAAATCAATCTTTAACCACTGAAAATTTCAAAGCAATTGGTCCAGTATTCGAAGAGAAAAGCGATTTTATCATGACGAAGAATGAGAATATGAAAAAATACAACAACATAATATTGGAACGATCGTTAAGTACACTGACGTATCCAATAAAATACAAAGTTTACATTTATTACTACAAGTGCTATTCATTTCATTAATACATCATGTACTTTGGAAAACCCTTAATTTATACTCTCTGTTCTTATGCAGAATCGAATCGAAATGCAATCCATGCAACTCAATCTCTATTCTGTTCTACAGTCATGACAAACTGTACATAGGTCTTTATATATATAAAAAAAAATTAAAAAGAAACGCGATTAAAATGAAAATAAAAAGGTTGACAACGATGGGCCAGCAGTGTTTTCATTCTGAAAACTTTTGCTTCTGATTGGGACCAACGTTGTCATTCATAATCCCACGCGCACAAACGGTGCTCCCAAAGTTTTAAGTCTTCTTGCTTCCGCTTGGGACCAACCACTGAGGTGTATAAACCACCTCAATGGGACCAACAATGTCATTCATAATCTCACGCGCACAAACGGTGTTCCCAAAGTTTCAAGTCTTACTACCGTACCGTATAAAGACCGTACCATATATAAATAATTGCGTACGGCAAGGTCACGCGCAGTAACTCGGAATTATAAGAGATTCATTTCTGAGTGAAGTTTGGGTGACTCTGAATCATAATAGTGTAGAAAAGTGGTTTTCTACCTTTGGGGTGAGCCCCACAAGGGTGGGCGTAACCAATTTTTTTTTTATCGTGAAGCTAATTAAAAATAAAAATATTGTGTTGATCTTGCCTGCCTTATTTTGGATATTCATATTTCTTTATTGTTTGAAGATTGAGAATCCATCCACGTATTTTTTAATAAAACATACTTTCGCCCTACTCTGTGTTATTTTTAGCCAGTTATTTTTGAGGTGGGTGCGAGACTTGGCAATTTCTAAAAAGTGGGTGCGACTTGAAAATCTTGAGAACCACTGGTGAAAAACGTAAAAACGTACTCCAATCTATTTTCCATAAAGTCGATGCTCTTGTCCAAATCTTTCTTTTTTGTTGCTGGACATTTCAGTTTGACATCTTTTGCCATTTTAAGTGCCTTGTTAATATACTCTATCCCTTTCTGTTTCTTTCCCATGATTGCCAACGCTTGTCCCAAGTTACTGTAAAGGTCAATTTCGGTTTTCTGAGCGTCATAGCCTTGGTGATTAATTTCTTTGATATATCCAATGCCCGTATTGCAACATTCGATCGCGCTTGAAAGATAACCTTGGCCAATGTACAAATAAGCGGCAGCCATCCAATTTTGTGCCCACGCCGCCGAGGAATTCTTTTTGTCGGAGCTTACCCCTTCAATTTTCATCATTTGTCGAAACATTTCTTTCAATATTGGCTCAAATGTTTGCAATGAGTCAGACCAAGCATTGAATTTTTTTTCTAATGGTAAACGATCTCTATCGCTTTTTTGTTGAGTTTTGGGAATTTTTCTGATGGCGTTACTGAAGTGATATATACACATTCCTACTTGACGTACAGAGTTATTGGGGTCGTCATTGCTATTAACAAATAACGAAGCAGCACATGCAAGGAGCACCATTCCCTTGGCACTATCAATACGCTTTTTCCCTTTTACGTACATAGTGCTCCAATCGAGGAGTTCATCTGCAGTAGTCGTAGATTCTGATATATAACTAGCGAGGTCGGATATTGCTTCTCTAGTTGGCTCTACCATTCCGTTTCTTAGCGTACATTCCGCCAATAACAATTTCAGTCGGAAATCATCAAGCGTAGACAGCTTTTTTATTTCTTTAAAAGCGTCTGCAAATTTTTTAGCCCGTATGTAGATTTCCACCTTTTCTGTCGAAAAAATTGTTACGATATTCAGAAAGAAAATTGAATGGTGCTCAATGTAAATCTAGTAAAGGAGTATTGGGACCCGCTACACAGACCCTCGAAGCAATATAGAAAAATTGTGAATGGCAACATACTTTATTCCAATATTACTCATTCTTCTTTGCTCAATCAATTCTTAAGTATAGCTAATCTAGTGGGTTACGTGATTCTTCAATAGAATTTCTATCTAGTATGCGATAATGCTCTCGGCAACAAGTGTTTTCGGAAAAGTTGATTCCCCAACCTTTCAAATTCTAATTAGATATTAGAACCTTGGGTGTCTCTAGTTGAAGAGCAGTTTTGCATATTGCTTTCAATTTTACTAGCTGAAAAAGGGTACTCCCGAAGTATGTGAACCAAAAGGGCGGACACCGGAACGTAGTATGTGTACCAAGTTAGGGTTAGGCCATAATTTTATTCCAATTTTCCCTCATTTTAGTTCTATTACGAGTTCGGGGACTAGCCAGGTGACTCGCGCCGTATTTCTGCCTGAAATTATGGCCCAACTCTTACCTGGTACACATAGTACGTTCCGGTGTCCGCCATCTTATTTCACATACTTCGGGGAGTACCTAAAAAAGTAACTTGACAATTACAAGGGCTTTTGTTTTGTATCCGAACCCGGCGCGAATCCAGGGGTGAAAAATACTACCTGCTATTTTGTTCCGCAGCACGTCGTCATATATGCTAGTACTGCATTCTTGTTTTGTGTTCTCCGTCGGCAGTGTTTTCAGGCTGGAGCCAGAAACTCGGCCATCGCACAATCGTGAATCATTTTTATCTGCAATAAATTTTCAGCTTAGATTCAATAGTTAACTTATTCCTTAACTTAGAAGAAAAACAGTCTGGAAAAGCCATGTTACAAATGTTATAGAAATATCGCACCGTGCATACCTAATAAACAGGGCCAGATCACGCCTTTTAGTTTAGAAGCTCTAAGCACTTACGATTTTGGTGTTCTATATACAAAAAGTAATAATAATGAAACTGGTGTTATATGTTATCTGAAATGAAATGAGTAAGTTTTAAAATAATCATTTCTAAATAAGGTCAAGTTACGATTAATTTGCAACAGTTTACATAATTCCGAACATTGGTTGAGAGGTTCAAGATGATGGGCTACTTGAGAACTTTATTTCAATAATATTGGGCCAATAATGAGGACTGAGTCTTATTAAACACTGAGGAATCATTAAAAAAAATATTGTATGAAAATTTCTGTGGTGCCCCCTTTCCCCTTGGTGCCCTGGGCACGTGCTTATTTTGTTTCATGGGTAATCCAATCATGCTAATAAAGGTAATTCTTTCATCTGTATACCTAACGAAAAGACAAAACGTGCGCATGAACTTGCAGAATCGAGTCATGCAAAATTGAGTTGTATTTTTTCAATATTGGTTATACCTGGTTCTTTATTCATTTCGGTTTCCGGAGAATCTTCATCTTCGTTTTGCGTTTCCTCATTTTGTTCATTTTCACTTTCACTCTCTTTTACAGTAGAATTTTGTTTTCGGGTCAAACTCGACATTGAAGGTGTTTTTTCTTCAGCTGTAAAATTAGGATTACAATTTTAAAAACAAATTAATGGAGTTGGCTTGTTTTAGAAACAGGCCCAATTTTTTCATATACACACGTCGCTTCTGAAAGTTTCAAACGCAATTTTTGACTGGAAGAATTTTAATAAAACTATCACCCGATTTTGAAAAATATGTATGACTGAATCGTTGCCCAAAAATAATAATGAAGAAAACTGTATTTCCGTACCATTTTTTCTAGTCTTTTCAAATTTAGTTTTTTTCCTGCTGCTAGCACTTTCCTCTTTGAGTGATTTTCTTTTCAAAGCTGACAATTTGATTGTTTCTGAAAAATATAATTAAGATAATTTTTAAGTTACGATGTTGCTGTAAGTAAGCCACATGATGCTGCCAAACACATTGGATCAGCTTCAATTATTTTTATAAAAACAATATACAAAACCGACCACAGTTCGTCGTGCAACCACAATTATTTACCAATTGTCATGATAGGCTAATTACCTAATAATATCATTTATCAATATGCAGTATAGTCATCATATCCATAACATTGTATTACGGAGCTTTGGTATTCAGCATGAAGCAGTGATCCAAACATACTCGATCAAAGTCAAATACTCATTGTAGGTCTATATCGAAATACATTATAAAATCCAGCAATGCCATTTGACGGAAACATCAGTAAAAGTAATTCTCCAAATTTCAGGAAGTTCATTTCGACAACAGGCTTGACGCCAATATTCTAAGTCTGACTAAGTGTAATCCACAACAAGAACGAATCTCTCACTTATATGGAGACCATGCACTGAGTGAGCAAACGCAGAGGCGCTATTGCTACAACCAGCAATGTCCAGGGTAATACAACGTTACAACTCGAGAAGTAAATAGAACAATTAAGACAAATTAAATGTCTTATAAGGAACACTTTCATCTTAGATTCCTGAACGTTTCACAGTGATTTTTTCAGAAATTTAAAAGAAAACAATGTTTCGTGTTACCTAGGTGCTAGGGAATGGACTATTGCATGTTCTATTGCAAAATCTCGGGTTTAAATTGTATGCTCACCAACCTGGCGAACAAGGTGTAGCCACTGTCTATGACTATACATACTCTTGGGGAGGTGCGCAGACCTAGTGATTAGAGCAGGGCAATGACAAAATTCCGACTAGAGCGTCGGATCCGGCCCACTTGTGTGTCTGCTGAAAATTACGGCTATAGGTTTATGAATATAAATTTTCATTGGAAATATCGATGAAATCAATGTCATAATGGCCCGGATTGTTACATTGTACTTCTTCTTTTTATATAAACCTTAGCCTAGCTGTTGGAAAAGCTCATGTGAATATGCTGTTTTTATTTATAGTTTTTCATATTGAGTTGGAAAACTCCGGCCTAGTGGCCAAGTAATTGCCCGCCCCTGGATAACAGCGTTTGACCTAACTATACTGGCATCACAATTGAAAAAACCTGGATTGAACCCCATGCCCATCAACCGCGCACAGGATGTAATAAATTGCATTGGCAATGACGACCTCATGTTGCTGTGGTTGCTTATGCAGAGCCTTGTTCGGGCTAAAGACGAACGCATCGAAAACAAGAGAGCTATGCTCAAATATGTGGACACGTAACGCCACATAATTTTGATGACATCATAGCAATAAATCAAAGTAATAGCCTTATGGAGAAAAATTCCATCCTTAACCACTGAAAATTTCAAAGCAATTGGTCCAGTAATCAGAGAGAAAAAAAATTTCTTTAAAACGATACAAAGAACAAGAACAACATAACAACAAAACGATCGTTATGTCCACTGCGTGTCCAAAAAACATCTATTCATTAAAATCATTTCTAACTGATAAAGACCTTGCTCTTCGTCCGATGAAGACTCTTCGTCTTCACTTTGCGTTTCCTCGTCTTGCGTAGTGTCACTTTCCTCCGTTGTGACGTCATCACCATATAGCAGTTTTGAAGTTGTTGCCCGATCGCCGACTAAAATAGTTTATGCAATTGAGAAATGATCTCTTCTCGTGTTTATTTGGTATTTGAAAGGCAATTCATTGGGTTTCGGGCTATTGTTACAGACTACTGCTTCTCTTTGGCCTTTGTGTTCATATATTTGAGCATTGCACTCTTATATCGACAAAATTGACAATTAGAGGTCTTGTATTATTCAATCATATAACGTTTGGTAAATCGGCCACACTGAACCATCAATATAATTAAGTTCTTCCAATTCAAGTTATATAGCGTGAGATATCAGTAGATGCCGTACAGCTTGTTCGGTGTGAATGGCGCAAATAAGCGCAGTATAAAATCGTAGCAACCCATTTCCATCGGCACGACACCACCCACGGCAAACAACTCATGATTACACAGTAGACGCGTCGAGTTTATCATTAACTAATACCGACTAACGTACATGACTAACGTATATAACCAGTGGCGGGATTCAACTTTTTTGTCAGCCGGTTCCATCACAGAAGTCAAAATTTTCGGCCGGTTCTGATATATATATGTTTTTTTTATAATGTTCACCGGTTTCGCTGATCTCATAAAATTCCGCGAGACGGTTCTGTAGAACCGGTGTTAACCGACTGAATTTCACCACTGTATATACCCAATTTCGTTTTATTGAAATATACATATTTAACATAGTAAACATTATATTCCGTATTTCGTAAATTAGGATATTTTTTTAAATGTTCAAAATCATACCATAACTAGTACCATTCTTTTGCCTTGAATTTATTTTGCTACGATCTTTAGAAATGTTTCCTGCAATCATTTTATCGCCTCCTGAAACATGGTCATAGCATTGGAATATGTAATTTTGTTGCAAATAAGGAATGAGAAATCAGGAAAACAAGCTATCATCATAAGACGGTTCAACAACCTTTTGGTTTACATATAAGCATTGAGGAATGCTATGTTATTTGTTTATGAACAGTAACAGTATGAACGAGAACAACACTATTATATAAATCATAAAAATGACATTCTACAATAACACTAATTGGTGATTCGTGCAACACTAAATTTTTAAACATCATTATACTACACAATTCAAAAGTCCTACTGCACCTCGCGCAGCCTCAACTGATAATCATTATACACTTATCATTAAATGAAATTTACCACCATTACATCAACTATTTTAATATTGCAGACTTGACCGTGATCAGCAACGGTCTCTTTATATCAAGATAAAAACACAATTGAGATTAACTCAATTGAGAATATCTAAAGGCGGTAGTACATTACTGTATCGGATTTGGGAAATTGCCGTATTTTTAGTGTAAAACAGGAAATATTCTTACCGAAATTAAATTCACAATTTTTCGCGTGCACAATCGTTTTTCCTTTTCTTTCTACAAATGAGAATAAGTAAATTTTTTATTCCCATTATCCCACGTTTTGTTCATAAGAAAAATGTGACAAATGATACATCGGTTGTATACGTCATTTACTATGGAACAACATTATAAAAATAGGTAGATGAAAAGCCAGTAATTCCAAACATATTAGAATTTAGTATACAGCACATTTCAAAACTGTTGCATGAACAGGGAGCAAATACGGTGAATGATAAAGACTAAGTATTGTCTAAAATTATAACAACTTGAAGGGGAAAGTGCTGCGAGAAATAATACTCCTGGAGTATGCGTACTAAAATGGCGGACACTGGAACGTAGTATGTGTATCAGATTAGGGTTTTTAGGTACAAATACTACGGGAGTCACTTGGATAATCCCCGAACTCGTAATAGAACTAAAAAGAGGAAAATTGAAATAAAATTATCGTCTAACCCTAACCAGCAGGTACACATACTACGCTCCGGTGTCCGCCATTTTGGTCCACATACTTCGGGAGTACCCGAAAAATGACATGCATAATAACTTCTGAATCAATAATGACGCCTTTTATAAATAAATTAAAACATTACTCCACCTGACACTTTTCTTTTCTGCTCAGACTTCTTGACTTTTTCCATGGTGTTGGCCTTGTATCCGACACAGCTTATTATTAAATATAATAAAAGTAAATATACTGTATACGGTCGTAATTTAATATAATATCTATTAAATCTTAGAAGTGAAATTCTGATATCATGAAACAGTACGCTATGGCAGTGACTTAACCCATGAAAGGTTCGGTGCAAGTGACTCAGATAATACTATTGCTGTCATATCTGAGATGTATGAGGCTAACTTAAGTATAAATCCATGTTTATCAATCATTCTCGCAAATATAAACGATAAGTATGCTGATTATGATGCATATTGACCACTTTAACTTTACCTGCTCTGAAATACGAGCAAATGCTAGCGCTGTCTTTACAAATTACAATAGATACCATTACATCATGTAACGGCATTCCCACCAAAAATTCACTTATGAGACACATAGAGGTTATTTTGTACCCACTGCTTCACCCTGGTACTTCCCCCGGTTTAGGATCATCGTTCCAATTTCCTTCAAACTGTTAATTATTAACAGATATCAAGCTGTGCAATATTTGCACAGCACCACTGTGCTCCAATATGCTCATTAAACCACATAACAGTAATTTGTATTTATAAAATTTGAATACGTCTATATTTATAAAATTTTACGTCCTACTTCGGATCCGTATATGCCAAGGATGCTTTAACGAGATGATATCGAAGTGATCAATTCTAACTTCTTTATGATCTAACAAAGGCTCGCAAATATAATCGCCAGTTCGTGAAAAGAGATCATGTTATTTTTATCCATAGTTTTCTACAGTTTCACTCAAGCCAACTAACTATTTTTGCACTTCATCTTAACCTTCTGGAAACATTTACATATCTATAACGTATCACTCAGACAGATTCGTTCTGCAATGTAATTTAAAATCATATCTGTGCTTATTGAGGATAGCCTAACTGTATGTCAGTATTTAGCAATCTTTTTCGCTATTATAGAATGATAAGTGTGTTGAATTCAGACAATTAATCATGCATGCAGATCACTTTAACTTTACCAGCTCTGAAATACGACGAAGCGCTAACGCTACTTCCACAATGGATGGCTTTATAATGTTTTTCGCAGTAACTACAACCCACCAAACGAGTAGCCTACCTATAAAACAACCAAAACACCTATAAACGATCTCGTACCCACTGCTCGACCCCGGTATTTCCCCGGTTTAGGATCTACGCTTCAGTTTGCTCCAAATTAATAATTATTAACACATATCAAGCTGTGTAATCTTTTCGCGAGCTAAAAACATATACCCCGATCATTAAAATACATAACATAAGTTCCAGCCGGGCTCAAACACCGCATGCATACTACGCAACTCTACAAGGAACATTTTTACTCGAAATATCGAGCTCACTTGAACGGAACTTGAGTATCCAATTATGCACAACAAAATAGCCTATGCTAATGGTTTTTGGACACGTTTAGTGGCCATAACGATCGTTTCAATATTATGTTGTTCTTGTTCTTTGACACGTTTTTAAAAAATCGCTTTTCTCTCCGAATACTGGACCAATTGCTTTGAAATTTTCAGTGGTTAAAGATTAATTCCTTCGCTAGAAGGCTATTACTTTTATTCATTTCAAAATTTTGCGTGAATTCTATGTAATTTGATATTTCGTCTAAAATTTTGCTGTATTATTTTTTATCCATGGGAACACGGATTTTAGTCAGTGTCATGACTGGCTGTACGTTTTGATTCTGCAAAATTCTTGCTACTGGAAATTCAGAACTTTTTTGAGGGTACCGGTAGATTCAGATAGATTCAGATATTTATTTTTCGTCGTGCAAAAACATTGTACATTTAAACAAATGGTAAAAATTAAATAAATACATTGAAAGAAAGAGGTACAATATTTGGACTGCAATAGACGAGGGATCGCGAAAAGACTATCAAAAGTCATCATGTCATCGACACCATTATAGAAGCAGATTAAGTCAAACAATACAGAAATAAATCAGCAAAAATAAATGAAACAATTTGGGAACTAAAATGTACGTGAGAACAGAAGATTCGATTAAATAGAAAAAAGCATTGACGAATTTAAACAACTCAACGCCATGCTCCACCGAGCACGCCAACAACAAAGAAATTGCTGACGTGCGTGACGCAGCATAATGTTGTTGACTACTTGGGGAATTCCCTGCAGCAGCAGCAGTGGAACTACTAATATAACCAATGAATTATGATTAAGAAAAAGACATATTCAATTTATTTTGGATTGCAAAGAGCACATATATATTGGAAAATATTAAACGACATATGTGAACTACAATGGATGAAAGCATATTAAAGAAGCAATGACTATTAGAGGTAACTAAAGTTTTTGAATTTTGTCTTTGTTATAAGAGTTCATAATACAGTTATTTTGTGAAGTGACTTTCATAAGGAGCACATGCTATTAAATAATAAAATAGCAGTAATGGAAATCAATAAGGTGAAAGGATACCTAGCTTATTATAGAATCTTGAGCAAATAAAGGTAAGAAACACAAGTGCTTTGTGAGAGAAAGTCATGCTCTGTGAGCAGCACATACTATTGGAGTATACCACAGTATTGAAGAGCAAATAAAATAATAATAATACAAGGATAGTGATAGCATATCATGAGAATAATGACAAGATGAAGGTAACACCCATAATTTGAAAAAAGTGAGTTTCAAACAGTCTGAGATACATTTCAACTCTGCCAGCCTACTGACAGATATAAGAATCTAAGTAAAGAAATTTTAGTGCTTTTTTGAATGAATTATAAGTCTTAGAGCGAAGTGTGTCTTGGAGCGTATTCCAGAGTTTCACACCGATGAATTTAATAGAGCTTTGTGAACGATTGGTAGAAAAGCGAGGCACATGGTATGAGCTATTGGCAGCGGAACGAGTTGAATGAGAGTGAACACTCATCTGTTTGACAAAATAGTATTTAAAAGCCATAGGCAGTTTATTGTTTAGGTGTTGGTGCATGAGTTTCAGTATCTCGATTTTATAAATGTCTGACATTTTGATACAGGTACCGGTAAAGACTGATTCGCTCTGGTCTAACGTGTCCATATATTTGTGCGTAGCTCTCTTGTTTAAAGAGATCAACGTACAAACATTCAATGACCGTACATGATATTCAGCTTTTGCTGCTGTGGGATGGGGGCAAAATAAACATTTAATTAACAACGTATTGCTGGCATATACGGTGCATATTGAATCGGTCATTACTACTGCAATAGCTTGGGCGTTTCAAAAGTATAACAGCTCGGAAGTTCCTAACCATTCGAGTATCTTTTGTTTGATTATTTCTGGCCCAAGCCTCGTTTTAACTAGGTTTGTGTTTTTTGTAATTTATTTTCATGTGTGTACTGGTGGGCGGGCACATGATATTTCCCATGTTTTAAACTTTTTTGAAAGTTTTGCTCGCCCTCCAGAATTCTCCATCTTAAATTTGTTTATATTATGGAGTATTCGAATAAACTATCTATCCAAAATACTCTACGGAATATTCATTTCAGCCATAAGCTTGCATTCAATTCAACCAGTGTAAAAATAGAACACAGGGAACAAGGAAATGCACTTCAAACCCCTTGGCTTGAAAGAATTTTTACGCTACTATGGTAAGCGTTTAATCGCAAAAGGCATTTTCATAGAATTCAGTTCCTAATTCGCTGAGATCACACAACCGATGAGATCGCATACCAAAGTAGCGCCGAAATATGGTTGCCATTATTCCAACGATCCATTCTATTGATCAGGGCCGACAAAGCATTTACAACTACCGCCGGACGAGGACTCATCAGTTTTATTTTTCGCAAATTTGCCATGCTATTGCGTTTTCCCGCCGCTAAAATTGTGTCCGTAGTTCACTCAAAACACCTTAGCCTGGGTAATAGCGTCATCTTGTCTATACTTTTATTCGGAGAAAAAATGCAAATTGCTTGTGATAAAATGGCTAGAAAATCGCAAACCCGGTAATTCTAATAGCACACAAACACCGTAATTGAAAAGCTGAGCTGTCAAAAATTGACAAAACACGGGCAGTTCTGAACTGCTGGCCGTTGAATGTTGATAAGACAATCCTACGCTGGTTGCGGGTTGCTTCACCACCCAAGTGCATCTGGAACAACAGGAACGCTAACGCTAGCGTAGTGATAGGGCAGTAGGCATACTTTGTTACTAAAATCGTCTCTCTTCGCCGAGATGGAAACCAAAAAAAGTACCAAACTTTGAATGAGGGCCCCACATTTCTGAAAAGATGCTTCGCTCGTGTTTAAGTTCAAACATTTACAAAGACGGGGCACCGTCCTCTCAGCTATTCCCCTAGTCTTCCCTCAGTCCACCACTCGATCCAATTACCCCTATCCACCGACCCATTTCACTCGGCCTTCCTCTTCTCGACCTACTACCCTTGGTCCCTCCGCCTTCCTGTTCTCGGGCCACTGTTCCATATTCCTCGACCTTCTTTCTTCTTTCGGCCTCCCTGTCCTCGACCTACCGCCCTATCTCTCTCGGCCTTCCTGTCCTACCTTATCGCCCGATTTCACTCAGCCTTCCTCTTCTCGACCCACTGCCTTATCACCCTCAGCGTTTCTATCCTCGACCAACTTCCCTTATCTCCACCAGTCTCAATTCTGCGACCTACCTACCGCCCTACTCCTTCCTGTCCTCGACCCACCGTCCTATATTCCTCAGCTTTCCTATCCTCGACCCACTTCCCCATCCTTCCTGTCTTCCGCCAACTTCCACTATCTCGGTCCACTGGCCCTACCTCCATCGGCATCCCTGTCCTCGACCTACCCAAATCCCGACCTAAAATCACATGTTTTATGTCACAGAAGTATACCAACGAGATTAATTGGAGCGTACGTCGAGAAAAAACTCCTATAAGACTGGTCATATTTGTAAGATACATCGTAATTAGTAGCTTAAAGTTGTGTTTATAATACTTTTCCTATCTCGGCCCGCACGTATCGCTTGCTAGTGGCATACACACGACTTCGCGGGGATTTGATTTTCCCAGTCCGTGTCTTCCGCACCTGTTTAAAAGTCTTCTGCTCTGGTGCTGAAGTA